AGAGTTTCAGAAGGTAAAGATTTCTATCTCAGTTAGTGTGTGTTTGGCTAATGCTATATTATCAAAGTCTTGTTCATAAAACGGGCTTGTGTAACAAAGTTTTGTATTCATCTAATCTTGTAATGCAGATTTATTTAATATCATTGAACTGATGAATTATTTATGCAGAAGCCTTGCCAGTTTTATTGGTGGGTGTAATAGCAGTAGTGGGTATTTGTTGATGTTGGTGGTGATCTATCTTGCAGAAGCAGGAGGAGGAGAAGGAGGTGGAGAGACGGAGAAGAGAGCTTGAGGAGCGAGAGTCTCGTGAGCGAGCAGCTGCATCTGGTCGAGACAGAGATCGGGACCGGGGGCGAGACAGGGACAGGGACCATAGGGCACGCACTCGCACGCCGCCTACATCCCATAGTCCCTCTCCACGTTCACGGTCCAGGTCACGGAGCAGAGAGCTCAGTCGCACCCCATCACCAGAAAGCAGTTCATATTCAAATAAGATACGTACAAAGGGCAGAGACCGTCCTAGAAGATCACATTCCAGGTACTAGCAAATTATTTGACATATATCACTGTAACCTAGTTTAGGTTGTATGTTTAGGTATGTGTCACTTTTCCTTCCTCCTCATCATTTTCCTTTCCAGTATTAGAGCTAGTTTGGCTGTTGCAGATGTTAGAAGACAGAATCTTTTCATTTTTGTTGAAGGGTTTCTCAAATATCATCTTCCTTTTAGTTTTATAGTTTGTTGTTAATATTTTTTTCTATAATATTAAACATTGGCATCATGTTGTGGTTTTAATAATAAGAGTATAATGTTAGATTGTCTCTACACAACAAGAAGTAGTTGTACAAACTTATACGAACGTGATGAATTGTCAGTATGTTTGCCCGGTAAGTCGTGCGTGACACACACAAAACCTGCTGACAGTTCATGAAATTCATATTATAATGATCATCATCATCCAATGTCTGTCCGTAGACAGGTATCAGTGGAACTGCGCCCTCCAAACCTCCCTCTAATGATACTTCTAGGAAAATAACAGGCTGAAAACTACCATTTACAGAGCAATTAAATTCAGCATGTGTTCATCTAAATAAGTACAACACAATCATAACAGAACATTGGTCCAAGAGTATAAGATGAAGCCCACAGCATATTTAAATCATTTTAGAATTTAAGCTTTGTGTGAGCTTCAGAACAAATTTCCTAAGCAATTTTTAAGGTAATCCGCTAGTGAAGTGCCACCCCCACTAGCCACCATCTGCCAACATCTCTGGCTATACAGATGTACCATTATGCATTATAATCAAGTCCATTGCAGCTTCTTTCCATTTTGTTTCCATCAGCTAAATAAACAACTGCCTGGGATATTCAGTTGTAAAGAGACTGTACACAAACAATTCTGCATTGACAAATTAAACCTGCTTGCGTAAGAAACTACCTACAGGCATACCTCAGAGATATTGCGGGTTTGGTTCCAGACCACCGCAACAAAGCGAGTCACAAATTTCTTGGTTTCCCACTGCATATAAAAGTTATGTTTACACTATACTGTAGTCTATTAAGTGTGCGATAGCATTATGTCTAAAAAAACATGCGAGAATTACCAAAATGTGACACAGACACGAAATGAGCACATGGTGTTGGAAAAATGGCGCCGATAGACTTGTTCGATTCAATTACTAAAAAATGCAATATCTGCGCAGCGCAATAAAACGAGGTATGCCTCTATATTGACTTATAAAGGATTTTGGGTTGTTAATTAGGGTCATCAGTGTAAATAATAGCAACATTTCCAAACTCAGGCAGTTAACATTAAATGAACCTGCTACTAGGAGGAACATTGATTTAAAACTGGAAACATTTCTCAGACTAAGCTGCACACACTGTGGAAACATATTTTAGTTTCAGTACAATTTCCAAGCTGGTCACAGTAAGGAAGTCTGATGTTACACAGTTACTTGCATTTGTCTGACATGAGAAAAAAATTCAGTGTTAAGTGCTGGTGAAGTAGACGTGACTTGCAAAGAACATGTCCCAGTGCAAGCCAGCAAAATATTGCCACCTGTTTCTACATATTAGGTGGTGAAACCATCATTTGGCACTGTGTTGGTGGTATTCCGAGTGGAAAGGAGCAACAGTTTTAATTTTCCACGACTACTTTACTACTTTCATGCCAGTTAGTGGTGACAAAGTATGGTGCTGTAATGGGTTTCTACTGTAAATATTGTTGGTGAAATTTATCATACTTTTTTTCAGACTTTTCTAACAGCATTAGAAATGTAACTGTAGTGAATTCTGTACATTATAAATCAGTTGACATTCCAAAAAATTATGTGGAATGGTATTGCAGGGATAGAGAGAGAGAGCGGGAGAGGGAGAGAGAACGGGAAAGAGAGCGAGAGAGAGAACGGGAGCGGGAACGAGAACGTGAGAGAGAGGACCAGAAGAAAACTGAACGTGAGATGCAGAGGGGAAGAAGCAAAGGAAAGAAAGAAACAAGATCGCAGAGCACGTGTGAAGGAAGCAGCATACCAGGTACTGTCATGACAGTAGTTTCTACCATTAACCATGGGCCCACAGATCCACAGTTATTTGTTGTTTTATTGTTGAGTGTTATAATGAAACCAGAATTTGACTGTCGTACTGTACGTCCAAATTCGTGACTTGCCATAAGAACCTGAAGCCCAAATTATGTATTGTAAAAAATGTGAGTTTGAACACTAATTGGAAGAAAACCTTTCATGTGAAGAATTAAACATTAAGATTGTAAATTGAATATCAGGAGATTTTTAGATTGAGAATCATTAACTGGGGATTTCACTTCAATTTATATAAGTTTGTACCAAAATTGTCAGTAATTAAATTATACAATTTAACCTTTGTTTTTGTATTGCATGTGCTTCATAAAAATAATCAGACATAATATCTGATGAAACCCTATACAGTATTCTAAGACAAAGTAACCAATGAAGTATTGTGATACTGTCAGTCTGCAGGCTCTCCGTGTATCATATTTCAAAAAGATATACAGAGCAATTTATACAGTCCATTTGTGCTAAGCATATATTTGGAAACTCACAAGATAAAATTAAGTTCTAAGCAGCATATGATAGCACTATTAATGTAATTTTAGGACAATAAAATGTACTTATTTTTAGTCTTCGACATAACCACTATCTTATATGATATATCTTTCATTTTGTTCTTAACTTTTCAAGATAATTCACAGCTTTTGTTGGATGATTGCACAGATTACAATTTAATCCTGCATGTGTATTCCTTAGAATGTGGTTTTGATTAACAATTTGACATATAGTAGTCTGGTACTTTCACAGAAGTAGTAAATACTATTTAGTGACTGCTAAATTTATGATGATGATTGCACCACTGTTTGAGAGAACATAATTTAAGTTGGCTGATATGCATTTCTGTTTTAATTTCGTAAACATTTCTAAATTCATTATTGATTATAATATTGTGTCAGTGAAGCTCTGTGTTTAAATAATAACCTGGTATCAAATTGTAACTGATCATATTCATAGATACTGAAAGTACTAGTTAGGCTTATATTTGAATATTTGCCGTATTTATTTATATACAGAGTTCAAGTTAACTTTGGTTACTCATATGTAACTAATGTTCTGTGCTTTTAAAGTTGTTGTAAGTGGGATAAAGAGATGTTTAGATTGATCCAGCACTAAATGTTTAATATTTACATTCGCAGGAGCGACTGCGGGACTGGGAGGCAAGAGAGCGACGCAAGGCAAAGGAACATGAGAAGGAGAAAGAACGAGAAAGACTAAAAGAAGACGATAGGGAGCGAGAAGCTAAGGGGCTGAAAGAGTTTCTGGAGGATTATGATGATGAACGTGATGATACAAAGTATTACAAGTAAGTGCCTATTACTGTCTTTGAGGGGGGTGTTTGTCAACAATTTTCTGCTACAACTCCAAATTGGCCTCCAGAAGGACCTCCTGACCCTTTGGCTTTACCCGTTACACACTTTTTATCTACAAATAGAAAATTTGATCATCCTTCCATGTACCTCTTGTTGACCTCATTCCTGATTAAGGTTGAGACCTGAGTTTGGAAACTGGTCTCCATGCATATAAAATATTAGTGTAATTGAACATATTTTAATCATTCATATGAGTACCTGAAATTCCACTGTTTGTTTTTGGCAGTACGAACATAGATGGTGCATTTTTGACCTTCCAGTTTTGAGTGAGAATGCTAAGTGGTTGAAAGTGGTCCTGAGTTTGTATTTGGCACAAATTCGCGGTGGAGCAGCTATCTGTATGCCATGCACACTTGACACAAATGGACTACAACTGAATCACGCTTACAGCATGTCATCTGACCTTGAGCTACAACACAATCAGGCATCATTCATTGGTGTTGTCGATCATACGATACGTTAGATTCCAGTATTGCCCTTTTGTACTCAAGTCATTTACGTGTGTATGCCTAGTAGTCCGAAACAGTCCAGATTATTCACCACTAGAAATGAGCACTTTTGTGATGTGGCCGTTTTTGAGTTGGGATATTCAAAAGAGAAAAAACGCACATAAACTGAACATAATTACTCTCAGAAATACAGTGCACCATGACAGAATTTCTCTGCACTCTGGATTTGTCAGGTTGTTTTAGCAGGTGATATAGCATCTTTAAATAGCAATGGAACCAAGACTCCAATCACTTTGTATCCACGTGCATCATTCTACTTATGTTCATGGCAAAGTAAAATTTGTAAATATGGGCCATATGCAAGCTGCAGACATTGATTCCTGTTAAATTTAACAAGAATGCGATGTGTTTTGTGTACATCAGAGGGCGTGAACTGCAGAGGAGATTAGCAGAGAGAGAGAAAGAGATTGAACAAGATGGCCGTGATCGTCAGAGAGAAAAAGAAGAGTTGGAGGAGTTAAAGACTAAAATTTTCTCAGAGGAGCATGATGACCCTGGTGCAGAATTTGAACGAGTAAGTACGATCCACTAATCATTATTTTCTTTTTCCTACTCTTTAGATACTACTGTTAGGTAATTTTTTAATATATGAAAGCTATGCTACTGCTGCATATTGTATGTGTGCCTGAATGAAACAGATTGTATGTACTATATAAATTATATCTTCTTCACCTCAAGGTTTTGTACAGTTAATAGTGATTCTAACCGTACAGCTGAAAGAAATGTACTTGCACCATTTAAGTAAACTTTGTTCTTGATTCTGCTCCTGTGTATTGGATAGATGAAACAAGAAAGAGAACAACAGTATAAGCCAAAGATCATTATTGACGTGAAGCTGGAACATAGCCGTCAGCGAGAACGTGAAAGAGAGAGGGAGCGAGAACGCGAGCGACAGAGTAAGGAAGAAGAAGAGGAGGAGTTTGAACGACGGGCAGCTGAACTGGAGCAGCAGGCAGTAACTATGATTGCATCTCCACCCCCTCCTGAGGCAGCAGAGAGCACACAAGAAAGTGATGATGACAGGGGCGTAGATCAGTTCTGCAGTCCTGTGGGCCCACATGAGCCCCCTCTTGGTGCAGAAGAGGAGAGTCAAGCATCTGTTGTTTCAAGTGGTGGTGAGGAAAAGCCAGGTAGGTGCCTGTTACATAAATAAACCTCATACGAAATGGGATATGAGTTTTATCTTAACATACTTCTTTTATACTTCATCTCTTGCACACTTTTTATCTGCCACTGTTCCCCATCTTAAGAAAATATACACGTGACTTCTTTTACTTCAGCACTCTATGTACTTCAGTAATTTATTAAGAATAATATTCTGCATAATTTTCAAATTTGATAGTAGTGGGCACAAGGGAATTACTGAAACAGTTAAACTGTGTTTTATAATTTGTATTACTGTTCTGCATGGACTAGGTGTCTAGGATAACTGATTTGTTGTGTTGTGGTAGGGTTGGGTGTGCAGAACTAGCATTTTAAGTGTTCTGTTAGTGTTCGGGGTAAAATTAGGCTTAATTTTGATGTCTCAATATCTTTAGTGTCTTATATCAGCTGTTCACATTTTCTTCATAAGATAAAGCTGTGTCAGTCAAACAGTCTCATTTCGTCATTATTGAAATACTTTGTGGCAGCCGTGTGACCCAAAAACAGTTGGGACACAAGTGATATCTTTTAAAATATTAATTAAGAAACTATCAAAATATAAATAGGAGTTAATCTCCTAAAATGTCCCAGTTACAATAAACTGTATAGGCCAAACAGTAAGAAATTCTAAAACTAGATTCCAGGATGATATTAGAGGTACTAAAAATAACTAGGAGAATTAACAATTTACAGCCCATGTTTTAAATAACTAAACGTTTTTATGACAATAGACCATGCCAGTGATGGTGGATTAATAAACATCAACATATGCATATCTACCTAAATAAATGGATGGCCACCTTTATTTAACAAAAAAAATTATGGTTTTGGGGTCCGCAGTGGCCTCGCGGTCTGAGGAGTGGGTCTTGTGCCGCGCAGTCACTGGGACCATGGGTTAGAATCCCACTCAAGCCATGGATGTCTGTCCTGTGTACAGGTAGAGGCCTTGCGACGGGCCGATCCCTCGTCCAAGGAGTCCTACCGAATGTCCATAGATCAAGCCAACTGAAACGTTAGGGACCGGTAAAGGCTACCGGAAAACATACAAACATTGTTAAACCGGAAAGAAGAGAAATTATGGTTTTCTAATTGATGATATAGTACCTCACATGAAAGTGAACATCTCTTCTACCAGAACATTGTCTTAAAGTGTTGGGCTCTTGAATTTTCATGTGTAAAGTTTTAGCTGTATATTATTTCTGAATGTGTTGCATCAGTGATGAAGGTTTGGAACTCACCAGTGCAGCATCAGCAACCAAGCACTCCCAGTCCAGCAGCTGTAGCAGCACCACCACCACCTGGAAAACAGAAGAAAAAGTTGGATTTGAAAGAGGTCTTTAATACAGATGATGATGAGGACAGTAATCTTGGTTCTGGCAAGAAGAGGAAGCTTGTTCCTCTAGGTACACATAGCATGACCTCTTACAGTTACTTTGTCCCATTATGTATACTGTGAAGGAAAAGGACTATAAGGGTGTAGGGGTAGGTTACCTATTGCCATGTTTCTTACAGTAGTTATCTAAAATTCTTTGCAGTAATATTGAAAAAAACACCTCATGGTTCCTGTTACAGCAGGACTGATGTCAGATGTACTGGGTTGTGCATGATTTGTTACTTTGTGAAGCTAATGTTGTAGATTATGGAGAAGAGAAGAAAAAGAAAGAGGATAAGAAGGAAGAGGTAACAAAATCTCAGGAAGAGAAGAGGAAACACATCAAGACTCTCATAGACAAAATTCCAACAGAGAAGACTGCTCTCTTTGCCTTCCAGCTGGATTGGGCTGCTGTAGATAATGTAAGTATTGTATATGTTAGGAAATAGATGTCTGCAGAAGAGAGCACAGAGGTTGTAGACTGTCAGAGATGAACCACAACATGAAAGTGCAAGATCGTAAGAGGCTGTGAGTCTGTATTATGTTGTTGATATTAACATTAGATGTGTGCAGCTCTAGGATTTTAGAGATTGAATTCAGTAAAATATTACGGTTTGAATGTTGAGTTTTTGGTCTCATTCTTAGAGAATTTTTAGGGAACTTCTTTCACTTTGTGAATTAGTACTTAAACTACCCTGATCCATCATACATGATAGTTGGCAGTGCTAGCGTAAATCACCTTGTCGGGAAAATATTTCTGCATATTTTTATAAAGTGTCATAACTTCGGCAGATAAAATGAAAGAGATCTGATATTTATTCTTCTCAAATCTCCATTTGAAGCAGGCAGTTTAGTATGATCACATAATATTTTAAATTTGTGCATGTACAGACGGTTAATTGTTTTTGATTAGATTAATTGGATATTTATCAACCCACTAAGATTTGTATTATTTTGTATTAATTTTAAATTTGTTCGACTGACCCTGGCTATTCACTGGCATTAAATTTTCAATGTCAGAGTTTGATGAGGGACTCCCATCAAAATGGTATACCTCAATCTAGAATTAAATTGTATTTTTATTGGGTTTTAATTAGTCTCAATGTTGCATTGAACTGGACCAAGATTTCCTGAACAGATTGAATTCAGCAAAAATACTTGAAAAGGTGATTTTTTGGAACTAGTGGTCTGGTTTACCCATTGCATATGAAGAAAATAGTAATTTTATTTTGTTCATTATTGATTTTTTAACTTGAATTTACAGCAATTAATGGAGAGGCGCATTCGCCCATGGATCAACAAAAAAATTATAGAGTACATTGGGGAACCAGAGCCTACGTTAGTAGACTTTATCTGTTCAAAGGTTCTTGCTGGAAGCGCGCCGCAGGGTATACTGGATGACGTGCAGATGGTGAGTTATGACACAAAGCAAACACTTACAGTTGAAGAAAAGTTTGAAAGTAGTTAAAAATAATGCCCCGCAGGAATCCAAAATGCCCTTACCAGTTGCTTCATTTCAGCATGAGGCAGAAGTGTGTTAAGTTTTCCTTTTGTATTGTTACGTTTCTTGCGTTTATTCGTGCTTCCTGTGTCCCCTATTATCCATATAATCGAGAGTGTTCTAACTGAATGAATGTAATGTATTCTTTCATCTTGTAGGTCCTGGATGAGGAGGCAGAGGTGTTTGTGGTAAAGATGTGGAGGTTACTTATCTATGAAATCGAAGCTAAGAAGCTGGGTTTAGTGAAGTGAAAATAGGTGGCCATAATATTCCCAACTTGTGATATATCAGTTCCAGCCACTCATGAATTTTGTGTTGATGGTGCAATAACACTTTAACATGTGTATTGACTGCAATGCGTTTACTGATTAAGTTGATTGAAACTGTCACTCCTTAACTACCAACTGGAACTGCAGGACTTACTGTCAAGCATGAGCCAAGTATTGCCCAATAAAAGCAACTTACCAATATTTCCTGCTGGGAGATGGGAAGGTGAAAGTTGCTTACAACTTTCTCAGTGAATGCATTGTATATCATCATGGTGTACTCTGTTAAGTCAGGAGGTTTTGTTTAAATGTCTGTAAATTCATATAATACAGATTCTGTGAGATTGTTTGGAACGTGTACAATGTAGCTCTAAGACGATGGTCTGCAGTATTTTCATGTGTATCAGTTACTTTAATCCCATATTGCTGCTGCAGGGTCACTGAACTTGTGAAATATTAGTTGCCATATGTAAGTAAAGCAGTGGCTTGTGAAGTGTTGTAGGACTTTATTTTTGTAAATAACCTTTACGTGTCAGGAGTGAAAAATGACGAGAGGACGTGATTATTTTTATTGATTTTTAGAGTTATGGTAATGAGGAACATATTGTAGTAAATTTCTGTAGTTTGTATGTTTCCTTTAGGAAGTGACTTTTTAAGTCTTAGCATGATTTTTTTTTTTCTGGAAGGAAGCTGTGTTGAAATTTGTATTCTATCCGTACTGCATAGTAATTAATACTGGCACTGTATACAGCTTTCTTGTTCTCTCCATTCTGAGTGATCTAGGAATTATAAAAGTGTTCATTAACTCAGTCCTTATTCCCTGAGAGTGCATTGATAAAGGTAAATATGTCTGTGGCCAGAACACGTAACTGGAAACGTAAACCACGCAGGAAAAGAAAATGAATGAACACCAGCCACTTAATTGTACACAGTATTTAATAATTCAGATATTTGTATATGAAGTCTGTCTCTACCTTATGATTTTGAGTGTGTGTCTCAGACATATTACCATATTTATGCAAATACCACTCATCCACAATTAAAAACAAATTCTAATTTTTGAACATATAAGGAAATATAATTTGTTCAAAACTATAGTCAACCCCTGTTGGAGTCCTGCACTTTGTCTGTCACCAGAATTGTTTTCAAAGTGGGGTTTTTGGTAAATTGATAGATATACTGAGGTATGTACATACTCACTATATATATATATAAAGTTGAAACAGAGAATGATGTGATTGCAGAGGTAGAAGTAACCATCTGAAAGGGATGGGAGAAGAAAGACAACTTTCAGGCCAGAGAAGTAGGGGAAGGAGATGGCAGGCAAAAGGTTTATTTACTGTGTGAGCAGTAGGATCAGCACTCAGTTATGCTCAACTTGGTGGGTTAAAAGGATGTCAACAGTAGCGGTCTTGTGATACGTGCAAGGGTGGCAAGAGGCTAGTAGAATTGAAAGGTTCAACACCAAAGTTCACCATTGATCTTAGCCACTTCAAAAGAGAACTGTCTCAAAGTTCCATCTCATTTGATGTTATACCGGGTCTACAATTTATGAGGCTGCGGTAGTGCTTGCATTGCGTGGTCGGCCGGAGCTCTGTTGATGTGGGCGGGAGTTGTGCGTGTTCTTCCGGTGGGTGACCGGCGAATCAGTTTCAGTGCCGCTAGTAACAGCGAAATACGAATATTTCTCATCACTAATACATGTTATTACATTAATTGTTCTTACCTTAAATCACAAAAGATGTTCAAAGTGACTTCCTTGTGCTTGCAAGAAAGCTTCACATCTCGTTAACATGTTTCAAAATACTCGACGAAGCTCTTCTTGGGAAATTGCCAAATATTTTCTTTAAGTGCTTCTGCAGTGTGTGGATAAATTGTGAACGTTATGTAAATTTAATAGTTGGACCCTTTTTCCATGAAATGACGGATGAAGAAAAGACCTCCGGTTTCTTCATGCAAGACAATGCTACAGCTCACACAGCTGATCGGTCGATGTTAGCATTAAGAGAAGTGCTTGGTGAACAAGTTATCGATCAGTGGCCTCCGCGTTCCCCAGACTTAAACCCATGCGATTTTTACCTGTGGGGCATGCTGAAGAACAAAGTTTATGTAAACAATCTGCATTAGGAAGGTCCAAGAAAATCAGGTGGGACTGAAATTGAAGGGGGCACATCAGCTTCTGGTCTATGTTGACATGTAAATCTGATGGGGGGGGGGAACAAATACAATAAAGAAAAACACAAAAACTTTAATTGACACTAGTAAGGACGTTGGTCTAGAAGTAAACTTAAAGAAAAACAAGTATATGTTGGTCTCATCACCAGAATGCTGGGCAAAATCATAACATAAAGATAGCTAATGAATCAATTGTAAATGTAGCAAAGTTCAAATATGTGAGAGCGACAGTAACAAATCAAAATTTGATTCATGAGGAAATAAAGAGCAGATTAAATTTGGGTAATGGTTGCTGCCATTCAGTTAAGAACCTATCTTTTCGTCTGCTGTCTAAACAACGTAAAGATTATCAGTATGTTATTCGTCCTAAGTTCGTGGAGACAAATTTTGGCATTAAAAAACGGGGAGAAATGTCTGAACCTGGTAAACACAAAGGTGAATATGTCAATTTTAATCTTGCGTTGTCACGAGATCTTGAAGGTGGTTACCGATGGTACAACCTTCGTTGGTTCCCTGAGTTGGGCCTACATAGGCTGCAGTGTTCCTACAATGAAGATCAGGGTGCTTTCCTTCAATACATTGGTAACCAACAAGGTTACATACTGTAGCAACCTGGAAGTCCACAATCCTCATTTTCACTATTGTAAAAAACAAATTTAACAACTCAGAAGAGAGCTATCTTCAGTCTCGCCGTCGTGAAAACCTCAAATCCTACAACATAGTGTTCAGTCTTCGTTGTTTTATAAATATGATATTTTGATTTGTGAGGTGAAAAAAATATCGACCAGAATTGGTTCCGTTATAGAATCGTAACATTTGATATTGACTGTGGCGAGGAACTGTCCTACTGCATTTCTGTGATTATCATAGAGGCTGGAATGGACTACAGATTAGAATTATGTGTTCTAGTATCAGAACTCGTGATATCTTGGTAGTGCTAACACAGATGATTATTCAGTGAGTGATAGTAAAGCAAACTCTACGTTGGTAACCATGTGATATAATACATGTGACTTTGCTTGAACCACAGCTGATTGGTGTGCCAATATTTAATATCGGAAGCGTAATTATAGTTGCGTCTGTCTGTTGGAAAACAATTAAAGTTCTTGTTATAACGTTACTTCCTGAGCGTTCAAATGTACTGTAATTAGTTTCACGTAAATTTGATTGCTCTATACAAATTCTTTGCTTTTAAAATTTCCGTGCTTATGAAACTGCCAGCTTTGGTAAAGTCATTTCTGTTAGGAATTCCTGTTGGGATCACTTTTTTGGATACCGTAGGATATGTTGCAAGAGTGGAAGGTATTTCAATGCAGCCCGCTCTTAATCCAGAGGCGCCGGTGACCGATTATGTACTTTTGAATAGGTGGTCTATTAGAACTAGAGAAATTTCACGAGGAGACGTTGTATCTTTGGTCTCTCCGAAAGATCCCGGGCAGAAAATCATCAAAAGAGTTGTTGGCATAGAAGGTGATCTGATATCAACAATTGGATATAAACAATCATTTATTCGGATACCAGAAGGGCACTGTTGGGTTGAAGGTGATCATACAGGACATTCTATGGATTCAAACTCTTTCGGGCCAGTGTCTTTGGGTCTCGTCACAGCAAAAGCATCCTGCATTGTGTGGCCTCCACATCGCTGGCAGACTTTAAAACCGGAAATTCCACAAGCAAGAAGACCAGTAAATATTTCGTGATTTTGCATATTTAACTTATAATAGAAATATGCGTTCAGTTTGTTTTGTGAAGAGGTTTGAATTCGATCTGAATGGAACCGTTTTCCCAAATGCTCTTTCTGTGGATGATGTGGATAATGATGGTAACAATGAACTTGTTGTTGGAAACATGAGTGGTGAACTTGCGATCTTTAAAAGTGACCGGTTGTGGCAGAAAATAACAGGTTTAGGGATGATAACTGCTTTAGGTATTGGTGACATATTCAATATTGGTAGCAATGCTCTAGTAGTTGTGGGTGGTGACGGATGGTGTCACATACTGTTCAAAGCAAAGCAAGATGATGCTGTGGATCGG